CTGTAGTCTCAGAATGTATAAGGCTAATAAAAGCAATTGAAGACATGAATCAGAATGTTAAAAAATATATATTTTTAAATAAACTAGCAATATTACTTTTTGGAAGCAGCTCCTTCTAAAATAACACAAAGAGTAAGATCTGAACAKATTTTCCTTTTCTTAACAGATGTTTCAACCATTTTTGACCAACTATCATACAGAAGGATTTAAAGTAGAAAAATATCCAAATAATGAAGATGTAATCTAAAGTACCTCCAATGGAAAACAGAGACCTCAATTCAAGAGAGTACTTAGACATAAGCTATATTTTGTGCAAACTTACATTGCAATGAAGTCAAATTAAGTCTTAAATAAAGTCTTTCTGAAATGAGAATATTCCTATGTTTACAAATATAACATGTACCTACTTCCTGTGCTGAATGGACAGCTAAATGGATCTACATTGAATTTATTTATCCTTCTGGGAAAACTATTCCGGATTTAGGGTAAACTGAAGGAGCAAATAGAGGGAGAAAGCCTGCACTGTATCTCACTCTGGGAATTAAGATCCTAGAGCAGAGTCGTGCTTTTCAATCAGTTTTATTTATGCCAGCAGTAGATTTATTTTAAATGTTGATGGACAGTTTCATTATCCCTTGAGAGGAAAGACACACTGTGAATCTAAACGCAGGAGTAACATTCCCTATCTCCTACCTACCACTCCAGCCAGCTAGTGGTTTCCTCTGCTTTGGCCAAATGTCCTCAGTCACTCTTGTGACATCTAAGATGAGAGAAAGAAGAAGCTTTGGGGAACTGATATTATGCTTGGATGTGCTGAAATCCCTAAATGTGACTAAGATAAAAATGGAGGATGTTAGGGAAACAGAGCACCTCATATSATGAGAAGCTTCCGATATCAGTGATCTTCTCTGGATGGATTGTAAGTGTAATTGCCCCTAGCTCCCCTGCGATAAATGATAATGAAGGTTATTGAACAACACTTGCTTCCCCTGGTCCAAGCCAGTAGCCCTTACTCCTATTAATGGCATTTGGTTCTACCTCTTTCACTTTAAAGATTGATTTCCTTCTTCTCTTTTCTCCTCTGTCACAGGCACTTGGTTACTCTCCACCAGCCCAGCACCGAGCTCCCATGCCTCTTTCTCTGCATCTATCTCCTCACCAAAGGAGGTGACAATGGAATTGCATGCATAAGTTTAAATCTAGGGCATGTGAAGATAAATCCTGCATCCTGTAAGGCAGTTAATAAATATTTGGGATGTTAACATGAAAGATCACGAGAGAAGAAACAGAGGTGGAAACAGTCAGCCCTCATGTTTATTTTAATGAATCATAGGAAAGAACATAGGCTGGAGAGTATATATACACTGTGGTGTCACTGACAACTCTYTCACCTGCTCACTGGCACCAGTCAATGCTGGCAATGCTGGCAGCATCTGTTGTCACTGTGTTTTAGCATTAGTGGACCTACCTGAAGAACAAGGGCTTAGATGTGGTACAACATGTTTCATTTCCGTGTTAAACAACCAACAAACATTTTTTTTTCAGGAGTCTAGAAAACCTCTTTTCATGTAAGCTGAAACTTATGGAAACAATTTACTAGGCAGCTGGATGGCATTTAACTGTCTTTAAATTCCCCATGGATTAGCCAGCATCTAAAAAGAACTGAATTCACCTCTGCTCAAAGAGTTTGTAGAAACTTAACAATTTGAAACATCTGTTTGTCAAATTCAGTCAAAATCAGTCAATGGCTTCCAGAGCTGTGTGCATGAGAGAGAGAGMGAGAGAGACGATGCTCATAGACATCTTGCATTCCTCAAACAACAGCCAAGGAGGAGAGGCAACTCAGTGAGCTGGTAGGGAAGTATAACCAGATTAGATAATTTGCTTCTTGCTGATGAGAGACTGCTGCTTTCATCACTCCCACTGCATTACAAACAAGTGACATCAGGATTAAAAAAAAAATCCCTATTTTCCTTCTCTGCTTCTCCTAAAAACTGCCAAAATAAAATGAAGATGTAACAGAGATGGAGATGAGAGAAGAAAATGAATAAATAAATAAAACCATTCTCTCATTTTAAACCAACCACTCGGTATCCTGGAAAAAAGGCAAAAAAAAAAAAAAAAAAAATGAATTCTCTGAAAAATTAAGTCAGTTTCTTCTTTAAATGTGGCAAATTTAAAATAATGTTAAAAATGTGATTATTTCATTTCACTACTTTCCATCATTCAAACATTTTTGTTACTTAGTTTTTCATGTCAAAACTGTATTTTCTTACAAAGTATAAAAAAAATCTAAGACAATCTGTATTATCTTAGGACATATCGTTGGGATAAATGGATATTGGGGGGGGCAATGATCCAATATCCAATGGATCATTGATCCATTGGACAATGAATCATTGGGGCAAATGGATATTTGAAGTATGATCAGATGGAAAGCTGAAAAGAAAAAAAAAAGAAAAAAAAAAAGCTGAAAAGAAAAAAAAAAACTTTCTGAGCAGACCAAGTGGCTTCAGAGCCACTTCAAGGCCTAAGGATTAAGATTTGATCTGATACAGAGTTGATTTAGAACTGAACAACAACATTAGTTTTTTACTGCAGCATGGCAGAGTTTATGTRTGATTTCCATGATTCTTGTCTGGTTTCGTCATGAGGAATGGTGATCTGAGACCTCAAAGTGAAAGACGTTCATCAGTCTGGTAAGCACACTTGTTTCCCACATTTTTCCACAAGGACRTAGTGAAATAACATTCATTTTTCAGGTCCAGAAGGTTTGCTTTTAGCCTCAGGGGATATGTTCCACAAAAGTTTAGAAATTGGGATTGTAGCAAAGGAAGATGACAGGGAAGGGAGGAAGGCTACAGGGATAATTGGAAGCTGCAGTGAGTGAAAATATCATGAAACACTGAGGAAGAAAGGATTTGTAAAAACAGAAGAGGACAAAGAGTCCAAAGAGAGAAGTGCCTCTCTCTTGGCCTGAATGTCACACACAGGGRCCTGAGGTCAGATTCAAGGGTTGCCCATGACAAAGGAGTGTCTGTATTTCCCTTGATAGAGAGTGATCTAACTGGGAAAGTGATGGTCTCTTCTGTCTTCAAGGTTTGGTGGAGTCAGGAGTAGTTCCCAGTCTGCTACGTGGAGGCTCAGTTGCCTGATGTGAGGGGCAGGAAGGGGGCAAATGGAAGCAGCTTGTACTCTTGTCTATTGTTACTGAACTCTCCTAGTGAGTTGGAAGCTCATCCCCTCAAGCAGTGTCCTGATGTCTGCCCTGAATGGTTAAATGGGTCTGTAAGAAGAGCTCTCCAGCAAAGYGAGGGCAGTCCTACAGCCTTTGCTTGGACCGTTTTGGTGCCTTTTCCCAACCATAGACATTCAGCCTATGAGAAGACTCTCAAGAGATGGTCTGGAACAGTCTCACTGGAAGAGTCTTTGGCAGAATAATACAAGCTACATAGAGATGAATAACAAGAGTCACTACTGGTCAATCCTGTCAGGAATCCAGAGTCTATTCCTGACCACCTTTACTCAGACGCTCTTGGAGGTAGTTCTCTTATCAGAAGTTGAAGAGGAATAACCTTTCAGAGGAGAGGACTAAGAGGGAAAAGGCAGCGAATGGAGATTTAGGAAAGAATTAAGATGTCATCGGGAACAGTAGTTTGTTTTGAACAGAACACTTTGAAGTTGGCCCTGCTTTCAGTAGGGGTCTGGATCTGATGACTTCCTGAGGCCTCTTCAATCCCAAATTGTTACATGATTCCATGCTTTTATGTTAAAAGTATGAATTTATCTTCCATTCTCTTTTAGGATATTTACTTGCTTGCAAACAAAGACCTCCATCAGGAGGTGGAAGTGAGAATTGTTGTTACTACCAGTAAGTACTGATATGTGAGATACCAACACACAGAAGAAAAAGGGTTCATAKTATTCACGGTTCCAAAATACATCCTGATAACTTCTGTTTCCCAGACACACTCTCTGATCAGAACACATGTTCTCATGTACTGTCCTAGGCGACTAGACAGCATGCCTTTGAAGATACAGGGAACAGTTTGTTCAGGGCAGTTTGTCCTGAGAAAGACTTTAAAACAACTGAATTAATATATTTATACACACGCACACATACACAGAAGACACAGAATCACCAGCTTTATAAAGACAGGCAATAGCAGGCCATTCAATCAGATTTAAGATGAGCTTGCTAGGTTTAAGACAAGTATGCAATTCCTTCAAGTCCACCAACTCTTTACCCCTTCACCGCTACACTCTTATGTCTGCTTTCAGGTTAGACACCTGTAAATGGTGACTTGGAATTGTTTCTACTGTGACAATAGTATCTAAAACCCTCAATCTATACTGGGACTTCATTTTAGTATGAACTTCTGTAACACAGAGATGAGAAAACAATCCCCATTATGAAGAGTTTACAAATGAAATAAATGGTTAGTGTCAATGCTAACAGAGGAACTGATAAACCAGGAACTGCTCCAACCTCCTGCAAAGCACATAAGTTTGGAAGCAGAGGATCCTTACTGCTGCTGTGGTCCTTCAATAGATACAGAACCTTTTGCCATGACTATATTGCATACTCATGTATACTCTGTGCACTGAAACAAGAGGATTTAGCCTTGAAGGAGGATAGGTCTCACCAGATATACAGCTTACATGTGGAATATAATTTTGCCTTCATGCACTGGTTTTGCACATTTGAAAGTACAAATACRGGGTTGTGAAGTATTTGTACAATGGAAGAAATGATGATCCCATAACCAGAGCTGCAGTTTTATTTCAAGATGAGATAGAGATTCTACAAAGGCAGTGAGGAGAAAGGGGTGGCCCTGTAGACTGTTTTCATTTACGGTTTTCATAATTCTATAAAACAGACATGATTTAAAATCCTTCCCTAGTTCTTCTCTCTTGAAGGATATCCACAGTTTATGTATGATAGAGACCTCAGTCCTATCCCCAGATATTTCCTACARCAGTGTTCAGTTATCACTGACCTGTTCCACTCGGATATCAAATTCTCCATTCACCTTCTTCCCCTGGAAGTATTTGGCCCTGCAGAAGAAAGAAGATAGATGGACATGGTCAAAGAAGATTTTGGTTTTCATTATGTACTGTTTTGCTTCTTCATTTCCCTTTTTGCTGAAGAATTTCTATCCGGGTCATAGCATGTTTTCCTAATTCCCATCTTCTCCCAGYTTTCTGTTCTTCAGTAAGAATCTGCCAAACCAGATGAAAACCACATTGGAAAGTTCCTTTAAGGCTTGTGACTTTTTAATTTTATTTTCAAAGTGAAAAACAAATGTTCTCCTAATCTTTTCCAGAGCAACAATTCTAATCAATGATGAGACCTTACTAAATCTCATTTAATACCCAATCCTTGGAAAAAGAAAGAGAACAATTTTATTCTATGCCAAGACATCAGAAACTTTTTTCTTCTTGTGCTGAACAAAGATCTTTATCAACAGAATTGAAATATTTGTAAAACCTCCTATTTCCCTCTCTTTCTCTCTACAGAGCTGCTTTCCAATTCTGGTTGTTGTTCTGATATTAATTTAGAGAAACAGCGTATGTTGCTCCACAATGTCACTAGTGACAGGTTCTCATCTTCTGAACTGAGAAACTACAGTTATTTCAGAACTGAATGGTGTCATGGGAAAAAAAAGCATTTTATCTTCCATTACCTCTGCTCCTAGCTGTGTGAGCCACATACACAACAGAGAACATGCAGGGGGATGGGRCACTTATGGAAGGGGAAGGCTGACAGTAGTGCTGGAGAGGATATAGGAAAAACGGCAGGCAGTTTTAGGGGTTTTTTTTTGTTATTGTCATCATTATTTGTATTTGCATTTTATGCTCTTTACTGAGATTAATAACCAGGGAAATTACCAGTTCAATTACTCTTGTGGCTTTTCTTCCCAGCTCTTCCCCTCGTCAAATAAATGTCACAGAAGATAGAATAAATGTCACAGAAAGCATGAATTTAGACTATTTTTTCAGTTCCCCCCTCATTTTTCTGTATTGAAAATTTCAGGAAAATCATCTCGGTCCCAAAAAACACTTCTAGTTGGAAAGTATTGAATACACAGTTAAGCCCTGCAAGAACCATTTCCAGAAATAAAGTAATTCTCTGAATTCTGTTTCCATTTGGCAAAGATAGGACAGAATAAATAAGTAAAGGAAAATGAGGAGAAGACGACTTTGCTCCCTATTTTATAGTATTAGCAAAAAAAGAAGCTGGCTCACATTTTTACTATGTGTCTATTTGTTCCAATAAAAAGGAGAGACAGTAGAAAGGCAGCTTTCCTCACAGTTCTTCTTAAAAAAAAAAAAAACACACACACACCAGTTTTCAGCTGAATGTTCCCCTCCTCCAGCCATGTGAAAAATAAATAAAACTGTTTTTGTTTAGGGATATTGGCTTGAAACCAAGTCAAAAGTATTCATTTTATTAAAAAAAAAAAAAGGCATAAAAAATGTCAAAACTTTCTGCTTGGCTGTAATGAGGGTATCTGAGGGCCATACTACACTTCCCATCTCAGACAGCCCATCCATCAGCATGGTGTTAGTAAGACCTCTGAAGGGAAGTCAGTGCAGGACAGTGGAACAGCCAGGTGTGACCTACACCAAGTGGCTTGAAACCTCTTGCCCAGTATAAAAAGCAGAACTCTGACTGTCTTTTGCTTCCTTGAATGCTGTATGAAAAAAAGAAACTCAGCCGATAAGCTGAGAAATCACGCCTCTAACAATAAACAGAAATGCTAATTACACTTAATAACTCCATCATATTTCTAGAGGCATTACTGGATCTGGCAACATTTTTCACTGCTAAATGTAGGGAATATTACTGGAACCGGCAACTTCTCAAAAACTGGAATAAGCTTTAAGTGGGCCCACAGGAACTGGTCTGAAATTTGAGGCACTGTACGCACTGGTACAAGCTTGTTTTTATTCCCAATGCACTCATAATGTATAGTCCTTACCAACATTTATGAAACACACTTCCTTCCTCTACGGCCTCTACTCTGTGTYGACCAGCTGGTTGCAAAGTCCTTGGTGCTGCTTTATTTCAGGTTGTAATGAAGTGTGATTAACCACAGTCTTCAGCCCAGTACAGAAGGGCTGCAGTGAAGGGGCTTCCACTGCATAGTCCAGGAAATTAACCTTCATATGATCAAAAATTATCTACAAATAATTCTCTCTACAAATCTCTCTACAAATTATACAAGACTGTGTTTGCAGATAGTCACATAAAGTCATCAGAGCGAAGCACCTCAAGTTAGGCAACTCTTCTTATTGCTGTTTCCATGCAGTCTGCCTCATCCTCATCTCTCAGATAGTGTTCTTTGAATGGCCCAATATATAACTATCTTTCAAAGACAGTAAGTACCTGAAAAGGGGGTTAACCTGTTCTGGGTATCTCTGCAGACTACAGGTACTAAATAATTTTCAGTCAAATGTTTTGGTCAGCCCATCATTTTGACATAGTCCAGGGTAAGAATGAAACACTTTTTACTGAGACATCTCTGAAACGAATGATGTTTTCAATTCACACCTGGTGTTTCTGAGGCCCTGGGCAGTAAAAGCTATGACGCTGAAATGCAAAATGGCTTTAGCCTTATCCTAGATCTGCTGAAATTTCAAGGAAACTGCACAATCATTTCTGATGCTGCAGAAATATCACAGTGTGTTTTCTGAAAAAAAGAAGCTTTTATATGGCATGTGAAATGGCTTCTGGTCTCAAAAAGAGCACAGCAAGCACAGGATGAAGGAAAGGAAGAGCATACTGCTTTGATGAGGATGCAGGAAAAAAAATAAAAAAAGATTGAGGTTTCTGGATGTGAGACAGCATACCATTTCTCTCCTCCCAAACAATGTGAGGTTCTAGATGCCCTGTTCTTTTGGAAATCTGCACATAAATGATTTGCTGGGTAGTTATCTAGGCAACTTGCATTGCAACCAGGTGCTTCACCCAAAAGACCAGTGAAAGAGTTATCCAAAGAGCCTCCAAAGTGCTCCCAACATAGCCAAGTGTGGATCATCGGCTTCAGGAGGCAGAAGTTGCATCCCCAGCCTGGGGACACTGAGCCAAGCATTGGCCAATTTAATCCACCCCCACTCCTGGGCTGTGTTATGGTGCTGACCACTGCTACCCTGGCCAGTTCTTCATTTTAAAACATGCCAGATGTTCAGCCCCCAAGAACATAGTGTTATAATTTGATTACGCAGGGTGTAGATGGGGTGGTGTGGTTGCTGTGATCTCAGTAAATTAGCATGTAAACATATTTTGACTGAAGAGAACTGCAGGGCCATGCTTAAGAACAAGTTCTTGGGTGGGATTTACAGGGCTAGGAAATGTGTTTAAATGTGGCCACACTGGCGGGAGGAGAGGCAGTGCCATAACAAGCAGCCAAATGTCTCCCCTGTTTTCAGGGAGAAAGTTTTGCCCTGAATTGCCCTCTCTGAATGATGAGGGAGTTGAATTTACTGGAAAGGCATATATATTCTGGGTGCAAAGACATAAGAAAAACATAACTTCTGCTTTGTGCTTCAGCCTTGATATGATTACAGGCCCACAGGAAATCTGATGCCTCTTTTTATGAAGTAATTTGGAAAATATAAAAGCTTGTTTTCTAGAGCATGGAACAGCCACAGTCTGCCCCAATAGCTTGGCTGGAAGAAGCATATCCTCCATTTTTTTTTTATTGAATATAGTGTATCCTTGCAGTGTATCCTCCAGACACGGAGGGGGAAAAATGATAGTTTTGACCAATTCACCTTGAATCACCTACATAAGAGTTATGGCACAGAAACCCCATTTATAGTGCCAAAAATCATGAGTTACTTTTGTTAGAGGAGTGCAGAAAAGTCACGGTAAGTGACTTTGCATCTTACAATTTCTCTCTGTCAATGAAAGTACAATGTATAATGGGTTACATCTAACTTGTCCTTTTTCTGCCTTAGAACAAAAATAGATGCAGTAAGTGTAGTCCCTCAGTCTCCCAGCCAATGAACATGCTTACTGCAGGACCTGCGGATGTGTGAATTGCACAGAGATTGTGCAGTCTCCCCTGGAGTCATTTGCTCACTCTCCCAATCCTGCTTTTTTTCCCCTTCCAGTGCAGAGAAGCATATCAAAGGTGCTTCTGTGTTTCCATCAGGGTCTGTGGGAGATAGAAACATGGGGGATGTGGCAGAGATATGCACGATTTTTACTAGGCTGCAAATTGCGTATTAAACAACAGCTGGAGAAGATGCCCAAAGAGTTTATCTTTATGTGCAGTGCCACCAGTCAGGATCCTGCATAAGAAGGGGTGCAAAGCTCCCTCTGTAGCATCTCAGCATTGGGATAAAACTACCAGGAGAGGTAAAAATTGGGAAGTGAATCATGAGCGACTGGAGGAAGACATTGATTTAAAAGCTTAGAGTTGCTCCCGTGGGTCCTTTAACTGAATGAAACAAAGGTTATGACGCATTTTGCAGTGCTGAAGAGAGCAGTACAAAATTTGAGGGACTTTCTTCAGGACATCCTGTGAAATGCCTTATAGATCAAGGGAATACAGTTCAAAACTTCCTGTAGATCTCAGTGATGCTGATGTATTAATTGCTGGCAGAGCGTCTTGGAGCAACGTAGTGCCTGTTATCTCAGCTCTACACGGGAGAGATGTTGTCATGTGGCAACTACCCTCTTAGCACACTCACCCATGGCATGGGTGGGCCGTGGGGTCTCAGCTTGGATGCTCAGAGGTTGGTGGCTCCACATCAGTCCACATGGCTAAATGCAGATATCTTAGCAGCCAGTCTGACACATTCCTAGGTTGGCACTTTATTTCATTGAAAACCAAGTTTTCCTTCCCCAAATATAAACAGAGGGAGCATCCCAACACATTGGTCTTATTTAATTCTTTAATTCAGGGTGATTGTCTCATGGAATATTATCTATGATGTTCTTACCAACTAGCAGATGAGTTAGAGATGTTCGCCTTCCAGTGAATCAGAAAGGACAGCTTTAAATCTGAGCTTAACATCCTGGCAGTGAGACATCCAAGAATGCT